TTATAAGATATACTTTTTTTGTTTATAAGATAAATATATATATATAATATGATATGATAAATATATTATATATATTTTGTTTATAAGAAGATAATTTTTTAAACGATTAAAATGAAATGATATTTCTTATCAATTTTTAGACAAAGAAGAGCAAACCAAAGGCAAGAGCCACACTCTACGGACTGGCGAGTCTTCAAAGATCAGGAGACGTATCGGTGAACATGATGAGCGATCACACCATGATCAAAACGAGATTTACTCTCGGCCCTCTGATACTGAAAGTCGAGAAAGAATTTGGTAGGGCTGCGAAAAAGGAATTGAGAAGCGCGACTGCTACTACTGCAGAAATGTCGGGGAAGCTGAGTCTTCGAGTTCTTCATGGTGGTGCAGCTACCCTAAATTCCATTCGCGTTTTGCAACCTAAACAGGTAATACTAACAAATAAGTTCAATCGGTATTCAAATCCAAGATTAACTTTCTTACAAATAGAATTTTACACTTACTTGATAAAATGAACTTGATATCTGACTACAAGTGAAAAGGTTAATCTCTCTTAAAAATATATCTTAAAATATATCTTAACAACATACATAAATACATATAACAACATATAAATAACAACATATAAATATATCTTAAAGTAATAACAACAGGATAAACTGCAGTATGAATGTGATATACTTTTATTTATAATTGTGCATTTCTTCCAAGTTGCATCAGTTTTGAAAAGAATCGACCAATTAATTTTCTAGTACGTTAAGTTATGCTAAATTGGATTGTTACATTCTGTTTACGCCTTAAGCTATGTATGCTCTCATTGCTCCCTATATCTCACACCATAAATGTTTCAAATGACTAATACCTCCAACATGTTGTTTTCGCGACTTTTGCGGCAGTTTTCCCATCTTCTAGATTCCTAAAGCATCTCTTATTTCGTTTCCACAATTAACATCATACATATAAGGTGTTGTTACATAGGATGATAATTCCATACTGAATCGACGTAAGAGACATATATATTATGTTCAAATAGTAAGATGTTTAAATAGCAAATATTTAAATATCAGGTACATATATATGAATCGTGAATTGATGTATTTTGCTTTGAGAACTAAGATTTAAAACAGAGAATAGTGACTTGATTAAATAAAGTTTCTCTCAGGGATTTCTCAGTAATTGTAAATTCATAAAATATTTGATTGATACATCATTGATATGTAAGTACAAACAACATCTGTTTGAATATTGCAAGTTCCTACTGTATATTATCGAATTAACATCAAGATTAAAAGTATAATAATCGGACTTTGTGCCTTTGATCGTTGTTCAAACAATAACGTCATCGTACATGTAAAAATCGATAAGCATTAGGAACGTTTATTTTTTTTTAACAAATGATATTGATTCAGATGATTGAACATTCGTCGTTTATCGATATTTACATAATTGTTTCAATCAGAATTCAGATAATAACTTTCGATCGACTAACCGCCGATATTAAACTTTCGATCGAGTTATATTTCGTTATATTTCACGTCAAATGATCAATACTTGAGCTCCCGATTATTCGATTTTTCTTTGCAGTCATTTACATACAAAAGCAGTTTTAGTCTTCGCTGAGAAAACAACGATTTTTTTTACACGATTATACTAAACGAAGGTTACTTGGAAAAATTACTTACGTAGGTATTATAGTTAAACCATTACGCACTGAGACATTAGCACGATGACTCTTATTGTTTCTTGGCAATTGTAAATTGATCATCATTGTGAAATCTCTAAAATATTCTTTACTGCAAATTTTAATCTTTAGTTATTGTCAAAAGTTTAATGAATAGGGAAAAGGAACAATATACAAAATATTATAATCTTGTTACGTAACTCTTGTCGAATAAATTTGGTCAATATTTAATAATTAATAACTTGAAATTAAAGATTAAAATTTATTTGATTCAATGATTACATGAACATTGCCCTCGATGATGAATAGAGGTGAGATAATTCATTGGCCTTCGAGATCATCAGATACATATCACACCACAAATTTTCATTCGCTGAAAATAAGAAAAAAGGCAGTTATTATGCATGTAATGAATATTTTATTTTCTTATTCTAATTTTTTTAATCAATATGTGAATCTATACAACATCTTTTTGTTATTTTTATTCTTACAACATGCTAAAACATCTTCTCATGAAAATTGCAAGTTTTGTGAATGAATATCTATTTAAATTACATTTCATATTTATTGCTGAATGATTTATAAATAATTATCAAGTAATATTTTATATCAATATTAAACAATAATTAAAGAAATAATAAGTACAGAGACACATTCAAATGAAATATTCTGTAGAATGTTGACCTCTTGTGTCTTATTAAAATTTTAGATCTTCGGGTCATTTTATTACATAACTTAATCGTTTTGATTATTACATTCAGAAGCTCTTGCAAGTCTTACAAGCCCCTTTCACGATCGTTTTCAATTTTTTGCTGTGAGTATCTTGTCATAGTAAATTGTAGAATACTTCGAAACCTTTTGTCATATCAATAGAATTATATCTATTGTATCTATTCTAGGTATCTATTATCTGTGATTTGTAACATTCCAAATCTAATTTCACAGTGAATCTCTTGCAATATTTTTCAATTCCAGAAAAAAGAATATTTTTATATTTTCTAAGATAATTATTAAAGACCACGAACAATTAATATTCTGTACTATAAAATATTATAAAATAATACTATTAAATGTTATGTATTGTTAGCATCTACACACAGTTACGTAATTATTTTTAAACGTCACTCATGAATAATACAAGATTGATTTCCATTTGTTAATTCTGCACACACCTAATCTGATTGTTTGCAATGTAATTATAATTCATGTTTGTATGAAATGGTAATGAAGCTTTGCAGGCGATTACTAAATGATTAATATCTTTTTCAAATGGAACAGTGTTTATGGCACGTGTTTTACACTTTTATCTTTATCAAGTGTTGCCCTTTTATCAACAAGATTTCTCGAACACGTTTTCGAGTATTATGTAATATCCATTTTTTATCACCAATAACACTTTGAAAAATTGGCTCATTTGCTTCTTACATCAATTATATCTCTGATGGCTGTCTTCATTTATTTAAGCTTTTGTTTGTAACTTAACTCACCTGAACAATATCAATTTGTACTTATTTTTTCAAATATCTTTCATCTTTTCTTATTTCAAATACTCTGTATATACTTTTCTCTTATCATTTGTTTTCTTCTCTCTTTATTTCTTTATTTTACTTTCTTTCTACATTCATTTTTTATTGTTAATTTTCCTCCATTATCATCATAAGACGAACAAAAGCTATTTTTCTTGCCATTCATTGTGGATTAGTTTCAGTTAATGAATTATTATCATCAATAGCGTTCCTCAGCTTCCTCTCTTGCTTTATTGTTCAATGAACAATCAGCCTTGGATTTCCATGGAATATCTTGCTGAATTATCGTAATATTTACGTAAGCCTCTTGAAATGCTATATAAGTCCAACAACTTTTACGATACATTATTCAAACACGTTTGAAAAAGTTATGTCTGATAATATTGTTAGCATTTAGTACACAAAGTACTTTCTCCTTAGTTGATATTATGCACATCAGCTAACAAATAATACAAAATTTGACGAATTTAGCTTACAAAGAAATCCATTTCATATTTCATTCCCTACAGAAAACATTTTACAAAAGAAAATAGAATCTTTGATAGGTTAGAAAGATGATACAAATTGTAAAATTTGTCAAAGGACAATTTATTTTCATTTCATGTTTATTTATCTTCGTACCAAAAGAAAAACGTATTCATATTCAAATATAGATTAATTAACAATCGTAATTATTAATTAATTGTTACATCAATTGTAAATTATACTTTTGATTTGTATAAATATATACATAACTAGAAATATTCAAATTTTCGAAAATAATATGTAACAGATAATCAACGCAATGTCCAAGGGTTAAATCTAAAGACACTGAGTTAACTTAAACTTACTAACTTACTTGAACGATTTGTTTATTAGGTGCGTGTGGAGAGCGCTGACGATCACGACAGAACGCGCGAATTCGTCTGGAAGAGATCATCGCACATCGCCCATTTAGTCTCGGAGAAATTATCGTCGGCCACAAGGTCGATGCTTCGACCTCCACCTGTTGCAGTCGTCGCTGCTTAATCCTTTCATCGCCTTAATCCTCTCATCGTCGATTTTACTAGAAATCATAATCATCAAAAGTAGACGTCTCTTTTTTCTCCTCCATTTTCTTCAACCGCTATTTGCGACACTAATTCCCTCTTTTATGATATTTACGCGTTTGGTTCTATGGCTGTTTGTTTCTCCAAATCTGAAAGAAAACCATCTTGTCATTTCGTGAATTTCGAGTTGAATGCTTCTCACTTGGGATGTTTCAAATGAATCAGTAAGTTGATTACGCTGGATATAGAAGAGGTAGGTCGTAAGGGAATTTATTGGTTGAAAATTGTTTAATAGTATATCAATGCATTTCAATTCTCCGTTTGGCTTCTTGAATATCTCGGTATCTGTGATAAAAAAAAATCGGTAATATCAAATTTAAATTTCGGATAAGTTAACAGATTAATTTTTTATCACTGATAAAATTCATCATGTTCGCTACATGTAACATATATCATGATTAATTGATGATGGTAAATATTTATGAAGAGAAAAATAAGAATGTAAACTGATGATGAATTAATTCTCTAAATTCAAGTTTCTCGTTAAGTACTAATTTGCACTTTTAAATATATACAACTTATCGATTCATCCATTCTTTCCTGGACACCAGGAATTTCAGGAAGAGTCAACAAATGACAAATCAAAGTTTGTCCTTTCTTCATTTTAACCAAGATATTTTTTAAAAAAAAGAAGAAGGGACAAACTAATTGAAGATGTTGCGTACTTTCATTCCAGACCAATATGCTATTTATTTATTTATTTATTTATTTATATGTAATAGTTTTTATGGATCATCTATGAAGTCTGAAATACTTTCAAACTGCGACATATCAATGTAATCCTCATTTTTTACAATACTTATATTGTTGTATGTTACTCAATACTTAAAACGAGATTGAGCTTACATTTATGAAAAAAATTCATTTTAGTATGAATAAGTTTTTTTAATAATACTCTGTCAATAATTATATATGTATCAATAAAGTACTTTAAGTAGATTTAGACTATTGTCTTCAAAGTTATGTAAAATACCTTGTTCCAGAAAAAGATTTAAAAATATTAAAAAAATTATTTATATTCTATTCCATTTGTCCTTTTGTTTGTTAAAAATTAGTTTATTAGAAGAATTATTTCAAGTATCAATAACAGGCAAAGGCACGTGTGGTTTTTGTTTCAATTATATGTGATAATTTTTTATACTAACAAAAGAATAAGAATACTTTTATTGCAGAATGCTATTAATATTTTATAACAAACAATGCTTCTTTTCCGTAGAAAAGAGAAGACAAGATTCTGTAGACCTTGTTTAGAATTCTGCAGTTTAAATATCATTAGCTGTTTTTTTAATAATATTTTTTTGTTTAATGATTATTGAAATAAAAAAACAAATTGTATACAACACAAACTTTTAAAAGAAAGAAATTATCGATAAAACCATTCGTCGTTATATCTATAGCTTATTTGTCTTTTTTACAATTACAAAAATTGGTTTAAGATTGTTATCGATTTATGTATAAAAAAAAGAACAAATCGTATAACTATTTCTAAGATAATTTGATATGTTATTTAATTGGATATATATTTATTTACAGTTATATACATATATATAATAAAGAAGTTATATATATATTAGTTTTATATATATATATATATATATATATATATAACTGTAAATAAAGAATTAGAACGAACACATTAGCGACAACTATCAGTTCAATGCTAATCAATTTTAATTTATAAAATTCCTCCAGTTTATAATAGTAAAAATGGATGTCGTATTTTATGTAAAAATTAAATTTCTAGAAGTCAGATTAATTGTAATAGAATACTTCTTTCTTTTGTCATTTTGTTAGATAAGATCTTACCTAGTTAGATAAAAAAAAAAATTACTTATCTCTCTACAACACGTATTATGAAACGTAATGACGGTAGTAAACAGTTACAGAGAGACTTACAGTTTCTAAACCTAAGTACATACAAACTGTGTATGCTTACGAAAAGAATGTTATCTTGATTTCTATAAATCCATCTATTTGCGATTTCCTTTAGTTAATTTACGAACTCTGTAACATGTACTCTGTTAATCGTACCTCTAATTTATCTAAATCATACGTAACAACGTACAATTCGAAGCCTGCTTTGAAGAAAAAGAGAAAAAAAGCAGGAAAAAATCAAACTCTTCCATGCTCTCGTATCTTCGATGATTTTTAATCGATGAAAATTCAGGCAAAAACCTTGATCGGTTGAATTACGTAACTACGATAAAAAAAAAAACGGCACTAATTATTTTCATCGTTTCTCTTTCGTCCCAGCGACGGATTCGGCCGAAGTTTGTAAAGTCAGCCCGAGAGAAAAACTCGGTATCGATTGACGCAAAATGGTCGTTTGAATCTTATCTGCGTGTATGGGTCGCGCACAGCGTATAGATACATGTACAACTTGAGTAGGTCGCGAAGCCGCGAAGACTCGAAGAATATATTTTCCTTTCATTTTCTGCACCGACCAGTTGCGTTCGCGACGTCGTTGTCGGATGTGCTGAAGGTTAGGCTGAGGTTGCGTTACATTTGAACTTTCTTCGGGCTCTCCCTACTACTAATACTATTGGCGGAACGCGACGGTGCGTAAAGTCCAAGGAGTCGCCTGCCGACATTCCTATTGTACGATTCCAAAAGTGAGATAACACACGGTATTTCTATTTCTTTTTTTGTTTTGTTTCCTAATTTATATGTTTATATCAACATCATCGATTAACTTAAGTTTGATGAACGTTTAATTCGAATAACTTTCTAACATTCAGAAATTTTGTCATTATTGTACTATTTATAGATATATTTGATAATACACACACCATCGAGATGAATGAGACGCTAGTAGACTTTTAAATACACCGAATATGACACGTCTATTTTTCCTGACTTTCTGATTTAGCTGAAAAAAAAAATTTTTAAATATGTGAAATATGTAGTTAAAGATTGATATCATTCGGTAGATTTGTAAATTATTATTATTTGGAACAAACGAATATCATTTAATTGTTAGTTAATATTAGTGTGTATGATTAATATGCTTCATATCTTTTAAATACAAAAACAATATTCAATTCCATTAAGTACACGTTTCTGTATATTCAAAAAGATATTAAGTAACCAAGTAAAAATGTAGCCTTGGTTAACAACATATTAAATTTTAAAACTATTTTTCTAGGAAATGTGATTTGTCATGTTGTTCATTCGTTGATCTTGAATTATTAATATGTTGTAATTTATCATCAAATTGACATACTTTTTTGTTGAATATATTTAATTATGTCTGTAACATATTAAGTATTTTAATATAAACTCTGTGTTAAAACTATATAAACTATATATTATTTATAGCTTATAAATATTGTTATATGTCGATTTTTAATAATAGAAATTATCCTTTTTTTTCAGATTCTATTTGATAACATTTAATTTAGTGAAAGTTTGTTTATAAATCAACCTTACATAATGGCTGCTTTAACAACAAATGTGAAATATACCTTTCACTCTCTTTGTACAACCGTTGTAAGAGCAATGTCTACCAATGCAATGTTAAATCCAAAAGACGAAGTGAAAGAAATAGTACTTAAGTATTTGGATGGGAAAGACAATGGGATTGTGGTATTAGGATTAAATCGACCCAGCGTTTGCAATGCTCTTGGCAAAACTTTAACTAGTCAACTGCACGATGCTATTTCTTCCATTAGAGAGGATTCAAAATTGAGAGTGTTAATTATTCGTAGTTTGGTCCCAAAGGTTTTCTGCGCTGGTGCGGATCTCAGAGAAAGAGCAAGGATGGACAATGCAGAAGTTTTGAAATTTGTTTCGTTCTTAAGAAATATGACAAATAATATAGAAACTCTACCAACACCTGTGATATCCGCTATGGATGGCGCTGCACTAGGTGGTGGATTAGAAATTGCACTAGCCACAGACATCAGAGTTGCAACATCAGAAGCCAAAATGGGTCTTGTAGAGACAAAGTGGGCTATTATCCCTGGAGCAGGAGGTACTCAAAGACTTCCACGAATAATTGGAAGTGCTAAAGCAAAAGAACTGATCTACACTGCACGTATTCTTAATGGTGAAGAAGCTATGAAGATTGGTTTAGTAAATGAGGTAGTTCCACAAAATAAAAACGGCGATGCTGCTTATCAGGCCGCTTTGTCAATTGCCAGAGAAATTTTACCTAATGGACCAATCGGAGTTAAGTATGTATAAACTTGATTTATATAAACATAATACATATAACAAATATGTTATAATAATACTCATTTTATTTTTATCACATTAGAATGGCAAAAACAGCAATATCCCAAGGTTTACAGGTACCTGTTACAGATGGATTTGAAATTGAAAAACAATGTTATAACAAAGTTGTAAACACAAAAGATAGAATCGAAGGACTTGCAGCATTTGCATCGAAACGTATTCCCATTTATCAGGGAGTTTAGACATATAAAAATAAAATATGTCGTATTTTACAAATTTGTTACGCTTAATCGTTGACATATCACGAAAATGCATTTTAATCGAAATTAAATGCGAAAGATGCCATTCTTATACTATGTTATTGTAATATGACTAATTTTGATACATTTGCATACATACATGCATACATACATACATTTGTATTTAAACAGAAATACACAGTAAACTAATATTTTAGTATAGTACAGAAATAATATTGTTAGGATTTATTTAGATTTTAAGTATTTTTATACGCGATTTAAAATTTCAGAGTTTTGTACAATTTATATTAACGTTGTTGTTGTTAATATATGTGTGTATATATATATATGTATACACGAAAGTTTATTTTTAAAAAATAAAATTATGTTTTATATTTCAACACTATTTTTCTATTTCAACAAATATATATTGAAATTTTGTAGGAAAAAGTTAAATGATGTAAATAAATAATGCAGATTTCAATTTAAAATACTTACATTTTTATTGTATATCTCATTGCATGATATCAATAAAACAATGAGAAATGAAATTTAAAATTCAATTGTTTTAACTAGTTAATTTGCTAAAATAAGAAATTGAATAATCTAAATTTTTTTCTATTGCACCTAAGTGTCTAAATTTCCTGCAAAAAGTATTTTAACACTGGAAATGTAATACTATAAATGGAATGCTTATTAACAAAACAAAACAAAAAATAGAAAAAAAGAATAAAGACAAGTAAATGTAACATATAGTACTTTGTGCTTTCTAAATAAAATATTTAGTTAAGTCCTCACTATTATGCACATTGCATAGGAACCTGCAATTGTTCTCGTTCTCTTCTTTCTTTAATAAGTGCCATAAGAATGTTAAGTTGATTAATTGTATCTTCTGGACAAGTCACACGATGTCCAACAGTTAAATCACTTTCATAAATTTCATAATCATTACCACCTTCCATTGTTTTGTCACCAAAAAAGTGTATTTCATCATATCCTCGAATATGTCTAAGACAATATGTTTTGTCCCAACCATTAGGAAAAACATCAAAAGATATTTGACCTCCTTTACGCATAAAACAGATATATTTTTAATAAAAATTTAAATGAGAAAAAAACTTCACATAAATATAAAAGCCTTACTCACCAATACTGTACGTTAAAGCAAGATCTGGAAATTCTTTTTTAATCGCTTGAATAAATTTCTGACGAATTTGATGCTCGAGGTCATATTCATAAAACTGAATGCGCTCATCTTTAGTACAATTACGACCGACCGGAGATACATTAATTATTCCACTTCTAAATTCTATAAAAGTTCCACGTTTGAGTGGCAAACGTAATTCTGACATATATTTCAAACAAAAGTTGATAAAATCCTGCAGTGCTTCTTCGCCAATAATACTTTGAATTGTCTGAAATAAGAAATAAGAAATAAAAAATAGAAAAATTTTATGACAATAATGTCTTTTAGTCGTACCACTTACTTCTGTAGGTAATTGTTTACCATTTTCAAAGGCAATAAGTCCATTCTCTGCAAAAACATATTTATATTTTTCAAATACACTTTTACCACCCAACTGTTCTGTAATCTTGTTTAAATCTGATCCTCCTACTACAGCTAAGTCAAACTGTTTCTTGACAGTCTCCAGCAGAAATTTCTCCATGGATGGTTTGATTGGCTAGTGAAAAAAAAAAAATTGAAATTTATTGACAAAAATTACTTTTATTTATTTTTATTATAATACCTGTCTAGGATCAGTAAGTGTGCCATCAACATCAAATAAACATATCACCTTCTTAGTCATAGTAAATTGATATTGTTTATTTGCTTAATCTGAAACATAAATATCTACATTAAAGTCTGATAAGGAATATAAATATCAAATTGATCTTCTGTATAAAATGCAAATGTAATTGTCAAGAAATTCTTGTGATTACATCTATGAAATTATTTGGAATAAACAGTTTATTACTGTTTTAAGACTTCACCGTATAAATCAAATAAGCCACTCACAAGTCACGTGAAAGGCGTTTTTCTCATTATTATAAATTAACAATTCCCTTCCACTTATGTGATTCTCTTCTTGACAGATTAAATTATATCTAAACATGTTTTAATAAAAAGAATTTCGAAGTCGACGGAAAAAAGAACAAGGAGAGACATAAAACGTATTACAATTTTAACGAAAAATTAATGTTATTAAAAGTTCTTGAAAAATTTGGACATGTCTCAATAATTGAATGATTATAACCTATACACACAATTCACATTGATAATATAATAAAATGAATAACGTTAATAATATATAATTACACAATATTTCGAACGTGTTTAAATTGATGTTTCATCTTTTTTATTTTCTCGTCGACCACGAAATAAATTAAATATCGCATACAAAATAAGGAAAAGAAAAAAAAAAAAGAAATACAAACGGTGGTTATAGATACGTGGCTAATCTGACGTGTTCTTTATCGATTGTCCTTATCTGTAAATGTACAATGTTAAAAAGAATCGGCTTAAGTAAATTATATTGTCTTCTTTTCCTTATTTTATTCAAATTATATAACGTAGATGCAAACATCGCGCCGTACAAAAATGCTGTTTTACTTTTGGGTAAAAATGTTACTTTTTTTCTTCAGAAACTTTTTAATCTCATAAGATGTTTAATAAAAATTTTAAAAACCGATAGAAATATCTTGTCTTATATTTTCATATGGAATATCTCCAATTGAACAACACTACTTTTTTATTATATTATTTTATATTATTTTATATTTCACAATTTTATAGAGTTTAATTTTTTGTGCAGCTGATGATGGGGGATTCGAAATGCGATCCTACTTAAATAATATTTGTCAAACACCCAATCTAGACAAATTGGCGAAAGAAAGTTTATTATTTAATAATGCATATTCATCAGTCAGCAGTTGTTCTCCTAGGTACATTGCTGTTTAAAATGCTACTTAGCAAGTCATATCACTATTATCATATTATATATTATGTACTAGTTTATTTTCATAATTTTCAAACATTTTAGTCGTTCATCTTTACTCACTGGTTTACCAAGTCATCAAAATGGAATGTATGGTCTCCATCACGGAATTCATCACTTTAATTCATTTAAAACTGTTCAAAGCTTGCCAAGAATATTGAAAAGAAATAACATAAGAACAGGTATATATAAATTTAAATACTGTGGAAATTCAACGATCCTTTGTAAATATTTTTTACAGGTATTATAGGTAAAAAACATGTAGGTCCAAACAGTGTATATCCATTTGATTTTTCCCAAACGGAAGAAAATAATTCTATACTTCAAGTTGGCAGAAACATTACAAAAATTAAACTTTTAGTCAGAGAATTTCTCTCCCAGAATAAAACAAAGTATGAATAGATGTCAAATTTAACAAAAACTATGATTTTGAATTTAAAGAAAACAAAGACAAATATAGCAAATTTTCAGACCCTTCTTTTTGTACATTGCATTTCACGATCCTCATAGATGTGGTCATACACATCCGGAATACGGAAATTTTTGTGAAAAATTTGGCAATGGAGACATTGGTATGGGTACTATCCCTGACTGGTATCCCATATATTATCAGTGGGAACAGGTAAAAGTTCCATATTTCGTTCAAAACACCGAAGCTGCTAGGCGAGATATTGCTGCTCAGTATACTACCATTTCTCGTTTAGATCAAGGTATTTTTATTAAAAACAATGATATTATTTAAGGACTAACAATGAAGTAAGTATTGAAATCTTTATAGGCGTAGGATTAGTTTTGAAAGAACTAGATGATGCTGGTTTTAAAGATAACACGTTAGTGATATACACATCTGATAATGGTATACCATTTCCAAATGGTAGAACAAATTTATATGAACCAGGTACTAATCAAATTATTAAAAATATTATATTTTTCTATTTTCTAAAAATAAAGATGAAGATATTTACGATAAAAGAATAACTAACTTTATTACATTAGGATTAGCAGAACCTATGATGATTAGATCACCAATTTCTAATCATAGAAAAAATACTGTAACACACAGTTTAACATCTTTATTGGACATTGTACCAACATTATTAGATTGGTTTAACATACCATATATGGATCGATTTTCATTTGATGCAAATGAAGTTCCTCCTTTAACTGGAAAATCTCTCCTTCCACTCCTCGTTCAAGGTAAATTTGATCCATCCTCAATATCGAGATATGCTTTGACATTATTTCGTTCAATACATGTGTATTTCCAGAACCCACAGAAAATGACACAGCTGTTTTTGCTAGCCAGACACATCATGAAGTTACTATGTATTATCCCATGCGTGCCATTAGAACTAAAAGATTCAAGCTCATACATAATATTAACTATAAAATGCCATTCCCTATTGATCAAGACTTTTATGTCTCACCAACCTTTCAGGTAATCTGTAAAAGATAAAAATTAATAATGTGAAAAAAAGATTATGTAATGTCTTCTAAATTATAAATTAACAAACATTCTTTTATCTTTTTTTATTTAAAGGATATTTTAAATAGGACTAAAAACAAACAACACCTTCCATGGTATAAAACGTTAGAAAGTTATTATGAGAGACCAGAGTGGGAATTATACGATTTGAAATATGATCCAGAAGAAAAGAACAATATTGCTTCTAAATCATCTGCAAGAGTAATTAAATGCAAGATATTCACTTGAGAGACAAATCGTAAAAATCTAAATTACATCTAAATTATATTTTCAGAAAATATTCTCAGATTTACAACAGAGACTGTTAAAATGGCAGGAAGTAACCAACGATCCCTGGCTTTGCGCACCCAGAGGAGTTCTTATTGAAACTAAAGTACCACAATGTATGCCGCTTGAAAATATTTAAAACATGTTATTTTAATTTTTAATACATGATGACATTTGCAATGGTCATGAATATTCATAAATACTCAATTGTTAACATGACATGATGTGAATGAAGGGGATATTCATAATTTGTTATTACTATTTTTTTACATATTATGGAAATGGTATCAGGGTATTTAAATAAATCTTATTGGCGAAATTGATGAGTTGCTACAAGCTTATGATCTTGTGTTATATAACAGCAGAATATCATACATGAAATAAAAATATTACAAGATTTTCACATATAATAGAGCAAATATATTATTTACAGAATATACAAATTTATAAATTTCTTTCTTAATATGAGAAATAAAACCCTTACATGTCCCATTTACTTATATAAATTATCTATTTAAATTCACGTGGAAGTAGAAGTATTTGACAGATTGAACGATAGCATCTAAATATACCTACTCTACGATAATTTATAATCAAAGAATAGGTTGTGATACGGTCATATTTTTCAAATCTTTATCACGGTGCCTTAAAAGGATTTCGTTCAACTGACGAACGTAAGTCGATGATTTGTTCGCCGAGTTCTCCACCGCTTTTAGTTCCGTTGATATTTCATTCATCTAAAGTTCAAACGAGTCGATTAAAATTCGAGAAGCGAACACGAGCGTCGTGCGTGGGTCATTTAGAAACGTCTTACGTATTCTTTGTATCCCAAGTATCGGTTGTACTTCTGATGGTTATTGTAAATTTGCTTCACTTGTATCAGAAAAACGAGGCACAGCAGCAGACCACCAAGCAACACGAGCAAATTCGTATTTTGAAAGCTGCGTAAAACGAGCATCACTCACTTTGAGGTTACGTTCGCACTCGAGGAAATCCTACCGACCGGAATAATGACACGCAAATTGTGCCTCGTGGACGTTTTCGTATGAACGTATCCGTGTCGAAATTAAGAATGTCACATCGCGTTTGCAAATATCTCGCACATAAAATGACCATACCATCACATCCTACATCGGAGGCAGCGTAATAACTGTAGTTTAAAATGTCAGTTAAGTCGGATTGGGCGATGATAGTACTCGTATACAGTGACAGATGTCGCCACTACCTAATTTATGTAGCGGCGCGCGCAGTTCGTTTATACCGAGCGAACCAGCGGCGATGTCGATAAAAACGGCGGCAAAAATATGGGAAATTCAATTTAAAATCAATCAATTAGAAAAGCAAGCGCTCGGCAAAACTTATTATTACTATGTAAAAATTACACAAAATAATATTTGTTGTGTTTGTATATTAATTATCATAATATTATTAACTTAAAAAAGTAAATCTCCATATTTAAATGGGTCATAATTATTGTAATCAAAATAAAACAAATCATAGGATAACAATTGTTTTCTTGACTGAAAAATTTCTGATTGCAAGTTTTAAGAAAAATACTCTCATCGCTAGGAACCATTATCAATGAGAGAAACATGTTTACGATAATAATGTTTATTGAGCTGAGATTGTTACTACGAGTTAATTTATTAAGACAATACCAATTTGACGCGTATTTGGAGTGAATTGAATTATTGAACTATTATTCGGAAGAGAGATTTAAAATGACTTATATATAATACGATAAATATGACACAGCACGTGTACTTATTCTACTGAAATAAATTACAGTCTCTATGATTTATTAAGTTGAGGAAATAACATAAATTACTCATAAATTAAGAGAAAGTTTCAGATGTAATAAATTAAGCGCACATACATTTTACAATTGTTCGACTGTTTTTAAACAGCATGCTCTCCATTTCTTTCAATCGCATTGTAAGATACCAAACCTGTTTGAAGTGACGTTAATTCGTTCTGAAATTTAAATAAATTTCGTATCAGTCCCAAAGATATACTTTTTGCAAAAAAAAAAAAATAAATTACTATTCTAAACACTTGTCATAAAATCTTATTCCTTCATGATTGCATTAAAAAAAAAAAAAAAGTTACAATTACAATAAAGCAAGGAACGATAGATTGAAGCACAGAACAGAAAGAAATGGCAAAGCTTACAAAATTAAAATATATACAAAACGATATGGATATATGATTATGATTAAAATTTTCAATTGTCATTAGCAAAATAATTTCCTCGATTTTTCACTGATCAATTTTCTCGTTTGAAAATGTGAATTTAAATAATATAAAGCAATCTCACAGATGTCATTTTCTATTACACGAATCAGAAATTATTAGTAAAAGGAAGAATCAAAAACTTCCTATTATACACATCTTATCCTTATATTTGTACTGTATGCAATTCATTGAGACAAGCTTGTTTGAAATGTTTTCAATTTTTTTCAGATTTACCACATTTTCCAAGCATCCGTTAATTAAGCTTCACGAATAATAAAAAAAAATTAGGTAAATAAGATTAGTAAACTCACTAGACACAAACTCTGAATTTACCTGCCAAACACGACTATTCGTCAAAGCAAGTTTGAATTTTGCTTGACTGAATTTCACATCATTCGTGTATTTCTTTTGCAGGGAACAAAAAATTCTGTCAGAACGAGCAAACGAGCCAATTCCATTTTTCATGTAAATTCGTATCCGTCGTGGCACATATTTCTCTTCATTTTTTTTAATCTGTGCAACTAATGTAATCACTGAATTAGAAATTTACAGATCACACGTACTTAACACGTTAAGTAACTTCATTTCAGGGGTAACGCACGTACAGAAACTTTATTTCAAGATTTTGTATACAAGATCGTTCCAAATGACACAAGACACTAATTTCACATCGCTTTAAGTGATTCTTCGAAGTGATTCCTTGCGTACGCAAGATAATAGAGACTACCATTTATAACAAGATATCTATCGGTATTATTAATGGTGGAAAGAGAGCGATTCTATCGTTTATAATGTTCCCCTTCTCTTTGAATACGAAATATCGATCAGGAACGATCAGGATGCATCACTCTTCCCGTTTCAGTGGTCAAATCTACTGTAATGTACTTATTCATACATCGTTCGTTATACAGTTTATGAATCAGTGATGAACGATGTTGTCTTCACGAAGAGGCGCCATCATTATTTATAAACCTAACCTACGCGTCACCCTAACCTACGAATCGGATTCAAAGGAACGAGCTTTCAAAGAACTTCTCTTCTTCCGTTGAGTTATTCCAGTTCAATGATTTATTGTAGGCCTACTTGCAACCGGTAAGTTACGTACATAAATTAAGTTGGGCGTATAACTCGTCGCTACTGTATAACGTTTAAAACTCTAAGATCATCGATTCGTCGTTTCTCAAATGAAATGCCACGTTGTTACATTTAAACACAGTGGACTGCTCGAGATCCTTTTCTTTTTTTCTTCCTCACCAAAGAGATTCAAATTAACATTTATAATCGTATCGTTCGATTGGCTGTTTAAATATCTGTCAATTCTCAAACAGTATTTTATTCTGTGGTTTACTTTCATCTGGGTAAAACTTAGAATTAGTATGTAATATCTTTTGTTATCACAGCGATCGAAGTTTTATTTGTGCAGAATTTAATGATCGTAGTATCACAATTAAGTAGTACACCAATGTGTTGCAATTTCTTTTTAGTTCAATGTTATTGCGTTGCATATATTGCAAACCTGTTGTTCGAAGTAATAATAGAGGTTTCTCGTCTTAGAAGAAACACGAAACCTTTTAAGCAACGATTATTGACCCCTTTCATCTGTGTGAACGAATATAAAATCAAATATGATTTAGAGTACTAATAGAATTCAACTCTGTCGATTTAAACTATTAAGTGATTTTTTTTTTTCTTTTTTAACAGTTAATAAAAGACGTATTAACTCGATTTAATTTTTCGCAAATATAAATACAATGTATAAAAGAAATTAAGGATTCTTACATAAATGAATTATTAAAAATAAAAGTATTAGCAATTTAAATGACGAGCTCACTCGTATTTCTCGCTTAACAAATTAAGGAGCTACTTATCTTTAGAAAATCAAATTTTCCATGCACTTCCCGGACGAAGAGAAATGAAATTTCAAAGTAAAACGTTCACTTTGCAAAGTAGTACTTAAGTTCAACAATTCTACAAGTTCAAGAGATATTTTTCTAGATATACGTAGCTCCTTAAGAATCGATTTAATTCATTGTACTTATTATTAATATTACTATTATTCATGTTGTTTCCTTTGTTCTCGCTAATATCATAAAGAACGTGCTCTCCTTGGAGATTTTTTAAAAATTATTGTCTAACAAAATCAATCGTACCTTATGTTTAATAGTTAATCATCTTATCGACCGTCAATTATGCATTAAATTAAAATGCTGGTATTCTCAAGTAGAAAAATGCTTTTTTAGAGCATTCAAGTATCTTCGTTAATGATGATTATAATTTTAGTAACAAAATAATTTTAATTGCTAGAAAATTATTTAAGTTAATACTAAGCGTTCAATAACTCTAATGATAGAATAATAAACTTATTATTTATATTCAACAATAAAAATTCAACAATTAAAAAGGTATAATATATCACTCTTTGTACGCAAATTTTTATTCTGCTGAAAGTACTTAGTAGTAAAACTTTTAATAAATCATAAACACTTGTTTACACCATATATAAATGGGCGAAAAAATAATTTTGTTTTTTAATTACATAAAATATTAAAGTGTCATATAATGACAGATTAATATGTAATAAAAAGCGTGTAAAAAGAAATTAATCAAATGTAGACATTTTATAAAATTTTTTTTAGTAATATTATTTACATTATAAAAACATGAATTTGGAAATTCATAACTTTTAAAGTACTTCGACACTTAATTTTCGTAGAAAATAATATGTAATCAACAAAAATTTTTCTCTTCAAAATTAAACGTTACATTACACACTTACAATATGTCTTTTTGACGATTTTAGTATTAAAATATTTTTAAAAATTTATTAAAAAACGCCTCGTTTACTCTAGTAAGAGCATCGACAAGACACAAGAAAAATATATAAAGTCCTTCATCACACTTCTCACTGATCCTCTTTAAGTGATCGATATCTATCGTTTCAACTATAGTTATTAATAACTAAAGAGAATACGAATTTGTATATTATTGAAATTGTTTCATTTGTTAAACGTTGAAATTTCAGTTGTGAAATATGTACAATCTTTAGATACAAAATCAACGGTCAATAAGGTATTAATAACATATTTATGTGTGTATATATATATATATTATATATATAATATATATATATTATATATATTATATATATATTATATATATTATATATATATT